AATGAATCTATCCTAATGAAAATCCCAAATTAATCAATCCACATTTAGCACACAGGAGTGTGCCATACTTGTGCACAAGATGTAAGCAGACTTAGGAGAGGCAGCGATATGCAGAAGAACATGCTCCAATGGCATCTGTATCTGCAGTTTTATGATGGCTTATAAACACTGGCTATTTTGGTTCCATACCTCTCTAGAAATACACACTTAAATAAACAAAAGTTCCACCCCAGCAGAGGTGGTGTTCTTCTGCAGGCCAAGTGTTTTTTAAAAATGTGATTGGCCAGCCAAGATGTTTATCTGCCTGGTGCCTCAAATTCTCAAACAGTTTATTTGAATGCCTAGTGAATGGGTAATCTCCTACAAGTTTTGGGGCTTTAACAAGGTAAACAAATGGGTGGGCTGTGAAAGTAAACACTGCATTTCCTCCCAGGCTCATCCTCTGCTCCAACATTCCAAAATTCCCCTTTCACTAGCCCCAGCTTTTCCCTTCTCAAACTTGGTCTCCTGTACCCCGTTAAAGTATTGAAATTGCAAAGGAGACATTTTTAATTATAAGTACCACAGTAATGAATTCAAGTACACTCGTTTATCATAAAGGGCTTTCCTATCTGTCTCTAAAGTATACTTAAAAAGGCTGTGTATTTGATAACATTAGCACCAAGCATCTTCCACATGTTAATGCTCAGCGTTTTAGATGTTCGCTCTCCCTATCCCCAAAGACAGCATAGTGTCTGTTCCAGAAAGTACACATTTATCTCTGTGTTTGGGAGTGCCTGTGTGGTCTCTTCCTAATTTATTTGCACTCCAGTCCTCAGGGATAGTATCACAATCCCCGTAGGCAAAGGGAGATTAGGGAACAGGGTTGTCTGCTTCTCCCCACCCTGACAGAAAAGGGAAAACAACTTCTTGGAGTCCCACAAGTTCTTCTGGCCACTATACAAATTGTTCTTGAGCATGGAGGGTTTCCAAAAGCCCTAATTAGCAACTCACAGCAAACATTTCTTTGCATTAGCTAATGATCCGGCTACACTTGTAAGCAAACAGAACCAACATATCTAATCAATGCTAAAAAACCAACCGAATGCCTATTAAACATCTGGATGTAATTTTCTAGTTAGAACAAAATGAAAACATATGCAGGTTCCTTTGATCTCTGGCTTAACAAAAAAATTGTTGATAAAAAAGCATACTGGTCAGTCAATGTGTCATTTTCATAAAGTCTGCTCGTTTCTCTTCAAATGCTCCCAGTTTAATTTAGTTGGTTTCCTGCAATCTCTAATTTTACCATATTGTGTGAAACCACAAGAGATTCTTTGGATGTGATTTTATTTGAGGTTTTACTGCTGCATGGATCTGCTACTGATTTTTTTCTTCTTCTCTGCTTTCCCCCTCTACCCCTTAAGCCCATCCTATCTTTTTCTTTGGTAAAGGGGTGGGAAGGGAAGGTTATAAAGCAATTCTAGGAAAATATTTTTCTGTACCCTACATTCTTAGGTTTAAGAAACTCTCAGTTAAAAAAAACAAAACAAAACAAAAAATGTCAAATGAGTAAATCTATACACAATAACTCACAGTTAAAAGGAAGAGAAAATGATAAACCTGATCTTTTAAAAATTGACATAATTATTCTTTATTTCAAATAAAAAAGTAATAAATTTAAAAGAAGATGCATCATTTCTATGACCAACAGGCATAAAATTTCCTATTACTACTATATATAGCATATAGTTTTTGTAATTACTTATGTTATTGGTGAGTTGAACATCTGATAATCAGCAACAAATGAATGTAAATATACCCATATATGGTTTAGTGATAAAACAAACAATCTGATGATCTTTTTTGTTTCTTCTGCAGAGGATAAAAAAGGAACTTTTTGTAAAGACAATTTTTTTCCTGTGGAAGTGGAATACTTAACATTATTTCATGTAAAAACATCATCAACCTATGAATATGTTAAAGGTAAAGAAGATTATGTTTAACAGACTTTAAATAGAAGATCAAAATTATAGATTTCATGAGTAGGACTATTTTCTTTTAAACAGGCTGTAGGCAATCTACACATATATTATTTATTTAAAACATAAGATTAAAGCTACTTGATTGTTTAAACACCATCATTTGTAATGCAGTTTGATGAGAGTTTTGTAGTATAATTATTACAGCATGACAATCACAGAGAATCTATGACCTTGAAAAGGGGCCCAGCCTTCTCCCTCTCTAAAGAAGGGATGCACTGCCCTAGAAAGAAGCCATCAAAAACCCACCATCTTATGCACACAATTAAAGGCCTTCCAATTTAAAAATTATTACTCTTTCTTTTTTCCAGTCATTACATTGTAAGGAAATCAGAAGGCCTGGTGTTTCAAAGTCTACTGACAAGAAAGCACTGTGTAGAAGAGAATTTCCATTTTTCACCCATGGCAAACTGGGAAATACAGTGAGTAGACATGTTTGCTTTGAATGGCTCTCCTAGAGAACATTTAAAGACATTGTGTTAGAAATGATTTTGAAGGGGACAGAAAGGGGAGAGTAGGAGAGAAGTAGCAACACTTTTGAACTTGTCTCAAACTACAGTTTTAATTTCTGTTTAAACTATCAGCCTGTGCCAGAAAATCAAAGTGAAACTTGTGTAAGCCAGGAAGAAGTCTCAGTGGCCCTAGATGTTCAGAATACACAGGCATATGTGTGATATCCAAGGACTTTCTACAATGTCTTGCAGCTGATCATGGGATGTACTGACCACAGACTGCCATACGTGGCCCAAACACTAGATGAAGATTTCAAGGCACACAGATTACCAAAGGACAAACTTAGTTGTCCATGGATCATATGATTTCAATAAGTCCTGTGTGTGGAGCAAGCCTGTTCTGGTCATCACTAAATTTAACCAAGGAAAGAGGGGCAATGCTCCCTTTCTTTCCAGTCTCTATTTTAGCAAAATGGGTAATATGACCCCCTTTCTAATCCTACTTGATAAGAACATTGCAAAGCCACAAAGCCAAACTTGTTTAAGAATTTACCAGTCTTGTAAAGACTGGCTAAAATTGCTCCTTTAATTTTTCATTTATAATTGATATTTGGGATTGATGCAATTATAGACAAATCAATATCATACATATTTAAAAACAACTCCAACAGTGAAATGTATTGTCTACAATGATGCTTTTAATATTTCAAGAAAAAGATCTCTGCAAAAGCAGATCTTCAAATAAAATGTATTTCTGTTTAAATAAATACCTTCCCAAAAGTCTCTTGAAAGTAAAATAATAGGACCGGGGTTATTAGTACTAAAAACTTGCTAAGTACCGTCCAACACAAGATTAATGCCTGTCAAAGATGGGTCTTTCTCATGGAGGAATTTACCACCATTTGGCTAAAACAGCATTATTCACTCACTAATCATGTGGAAATAGCTCCACTGAACTATTCTTTAAACAAAAGTATAAATGCAGCAATACTGAAGGTTTTCCGCTGTGTGGTATACTTAGAGAAACATAAAAACTGGAGATTTGTACAGTATGCCCGTTTACTGAAAATCTCAAAATCTCTTTTAAGTTCCACTTTAAAATAATTTTAGCCACGTCCTTTACCCAATGCTTCTCAACTTCCCATTTAGGTCCTAACACGGCCCAGCCCTGGGGTACCACCCAAACTATAGCTGGGGGGGGGGGGGTCAGGACTGGTTTTTCAGGTCTCAATGCTGGTTTATCCCATTGTCTCCCTTTGTTTCCAGGAATTGGAGACAGGCTCTCAGCCGTGTTGCTGAGGCCCCTAAAACTCTCAGCAGCTTCTTATCCCCCAACACAGCGAAGTTGGATCTTTTAAGACAAGGACCCTCGATTTCGACCCACAGGGTAAAAGCATCGCATTTGCGACTGGGACGCGAGTGCTTTACCCTGGTAGCACCCTGGGTATACTTGTGGCCAAACGAAGGCAGACCGACCTTTGTGCAAAGCGGTTTGAAATCTTCCGATGAAAACTAAATCCTATCACCTTGGGTGCAAAGGGGAGTTGGCATTAAAAGCCGAGTCTTATGCGGCTGGTGTACATACGACAGGCAATGCTTTGCCCATTTATGCATTTTCCATCACGTACACAGTCCACTTCTTCTCGTGCATCCGCGAGAAGGCAGCTCAAGAAAAAACAAACCTCAGAAATTTTAAAATGTGACCTCACTTTCAAAAGAGTAGCTAGCATCAAACAAGGGGCCAGCCCCCCAGATACGTTTGACTTCAACTACCAAAAAGCTCCCCCTCCCCCCACCCCAGAAACTACGAGGTTAGTCTCTGAGCTACTTTCACTGAGATGTCAGGATTTTAGTTAAAGGGAAAAGTGAACAAGTGGCAGGATTTTTGCGAACTCGGACCCCCAGCTTCCGCGGCGTCACGCTCGCTGGTCCCTCCAGCTCGCGCGCACCCGCGCGCTCCCTCTCAGGCCCCACGTTACTTTGATTGACAGTCTGGCTCCGCCGCTCTCCTTCCCACCGACCTTCCCATCCACACTGCCAATCTCCGCGTCTCGCCGCTTCCCATTGGCTGGCTTTGGCGTCCCGCGGTTCCTCCAGGAACAGTTCCTCACCCAGCCCGGGAGGACGCGGCTGGCTGAGGAGGGATGGGAGGGGAGACAGGGGAGACAGCGGAGATGGAAGCGAGTGGGGCAGGAGAGGAGGGGGGAGAGAGGGGGCGGCCCGTCCAGTGCTGCGCCGCCATAGGCTCCGGGGAAGTGTCGCGTCTGCACCCCACGTTGGGCGCGACGCACGCGATTGGCTGACGCTGGCCTTCTGCTCCCCCTCCCAACCGCCCCGGCCCGCGTCGCCCGTCCGCTCGGTGCTCGCATCCCCCGCCTGCGCGGAGCTAGGCGGGGCCCGCGCGGGGCTGGGCGGGGCCCGCGCTGGTTAGCTCCGGAGTGTGAAACCGCGTGTTAATGTAACCGGCGCGAGGTAACGCGGGCGGCGGCGGCAGCGGCTGGAGCGGTGGCTGCAGGAGCAGCAGCAGCAGCAGCAGCGTCTGAGGCTTCCCTGTGCCCCTCGTTCCCGAGGCAGCCGACTGCACCACCCCCACCTATTCTCGGCCGGGAGGGACTCGCGCCACCAGCCCGGACCTCCGCCGGCTGCCCCTGTCGCCACTACTCCAGACTCGCCCGCGGAGTTTGCCGGCCGGGAGGGAGGCCGAGCGGCGGAGCTCACTCCTGCTCCTCTCGCCACCATCTCGTGGATGTCGTGAGAGAACTTTGCAGCGGGCTGGAGCGCCTTTTACGTTGAGGCAGACGAAAGGAAGGCAAGAGGACCGGGGAAGGGGCTCGGAGGAAGGGTCCGAAGCGGCCGGGCCGGTCGTGCGGGGCGAGTGCTCACCGGACGCCGCGCCCAGATGCGCCCCAGCCTCGAGGAGCAGTGGGCGGCTGCGGGACTGCCCTCCGCAGACTAGCCCCGTCGGGCCTGGAAGGTTTGTGCGACCGCGGAGAACATCGAGTGCCAGTGGCACGGGGCGTGCCGAGCAGCCTCCGGGCGCGCCCTCCGCACCGTCCCCGTCACCCAGCGCTCCTCTGCCGGGACTGAGGCTGCGGAGCCTCCACCGCGGCCCTCCCCTCTCCCTGTAGTGTCGGGGGTCTGCGACCGCCCGGCCGCAGGCGCTGCCCCGACGCGCGAGGGTCGGCTCCGAACGTCACCAGGTTTGTTTGTGTGGGGTTAGCCGGGGGCGCCGAACCACCTGCCCTTCGCCCGCCCGCGCTGCGGGGAAAACCCGGAGAGGAGGCGGACCGGGAGAAGAGCAGAGGAAAGCAGCCCTCCTGGATCTGTTTGCCCGGGACGGTTGCCGCGCACGCGGATCGCCTACGGGAGCGGGCCGGAGTCACCGCGCCTCCCACCATCCCACCCGGGCGGCCGAGGCCCGCGGGTTGGAGAACAATTGCGTCGCCGCGGAGGTTCTTGGTGCAGCCGGGCCTGGGGTGCCCGACGATGTGGCCCTGAACGCGGGAGCCCGCACCGGCGGGAGCAGGAGCAGCCGGGCGCCGAGTAGCCAGTGCGCCCCTCCGAGCGCGCCTGCGTGCGTGGCCAGCGGGCCCGGAGCGCGTCCCGCTTCCGCCTGGCTTCCCAGCTTAATTTTCCTCGGCGGGATTAAAGTTGGAAATTGAGCGGAGAATTGAGTTGCCCGGGAACAGAGCCGCGGCCGCCGCCAGAGCGATGTTCCCGCAGAGCCGGCACCCGGTGAGGCGCGGCTGGCTGGGGGGCAGGGTTGTGGTGGGGGAGGAGGTGCTCTTCCTGGCCGTAGGGAGGCGGGTGGCAGCTACATTCTGGCGGACCCCCTGGGCTCAGTGTGCAAGGCTGGGAGGTCCCGGGCCCTGGTCTCCTGGGGTGGGTTGTGGGCTGAAACTCCCAATTTCCCCCCATTCTTCTGGGCCCCTTCCTACTTGACGTCTAGACAGGGAGGGCGGGGGCGCCGGGAGAGGCTGGGGTTTCGCTCCCGCAGCCACATCCTCCCCCTTCCCCCGGGCGGCTAGGGCGCCCCCCCCCCTTTGTTTCTGGTCGCCTATTTGCATGTCAATGAGGCCCCCGTTCCGGCGCGCCTGGAGGTGGCCCGGGCGACTCTGGGAACTGGGAACGTTTGGGAGTTGTTTTTCTCCTCTGGTCCCCTGGGTCATTATCGCGCCTGTGGAGGAGGGGGCGGCGATCTCCACAATCTGGCCGGGTTCTCAGAGGCCGCCGGGGAACCCCCTTCCATCCAGCCGCGTGACCCGTGCGCACTTACCACCACCCACCCTGGAGGCTGGAAGAGGCTCCGAGTCTCTAGAAGCTGGGGGTTGGGGGTAGGGTCCATTTTCTCCCTCCGCAAAGTAAAGCTCTAACTCGAGTTCAAGATTCCGTTTTCCGCCACTTCTAACTTTTAATTTTTGTTTATGCCCCACCTACTTCTCTGTTTTCTGATTTACTGCTTTATCCATTCACCCACATCCCCGACCCTCGGTCCTGCTCGCTGGTCGCCCCAGACGCCGCACCAGGCTGCAGGCCAGCCCTTCAAGTTCACTATTCCGGAGTCCCTGGACCGCATTAAGGAGGAATTCCAGTTCCTGCAGGCTCAGTATCACAGGTGCGTGTCCGGCGGTGCCAGGCGAATGGTCGCCGGCTCAGCCGGGTGCCCCTTGTCGCTCAGCCCCGTGGAGGTGGCGGCAACGGCTGTACTTAATACAGGCGTCCAGGCGGTGGCGTGTGGAGTCGAAGTAAAGACCTGTCATTCACGTTACCCCCTTTCCTGGCTCTTCCAGGGCAACCCCTTCTCTTGTCTCCTCCTCCTCCCATTGTTTCCCTTTTACCCGTTTGCTGCTGTTACAGGGAGTCTATTTTCGTGTATTTAGGAGTTGCATGAGAACCATCAATATTTGTACTTCATTTATTTATTTTGCAACAGGCTGAGCTAAAACCTTGGTTCAGTCGATGGTCCAGCCCTGGAGTGTGGGTTCAGGGAGGCAAAGCCAGTGTTGAAATCACTGTTTGCCATGCTAGAGAATTGGGTGGTCTAAGGCAAAGTCCATTATGAAAAGCTGGATGCTTTTAGCTGTGTCTAGTATTGGCGGTGATGAGAGGGGTGGATGTGTGTCAGGGAAGACTCGCCTGCTTTGGTGTCATTCTGGGTTGGTTTGGGTAGGACAGGGGATTGGAGTCACATTTATATCCATCTCAGCTTTAGTCTCTGTCTAATGAGACCTACTTCAAAAGATTTATAAGTGAAAACTGTAAAGCAACCCATTCATAACGGACTTTCCAGAAATGTTAGTTTCTTGTTCCTATGAAGTTTTGAGTGATTAGAGCTAAGAAATAACTGTAGTAACAATTTTTATTGTTGTCATGCTTGAGAAGCATTATAGATGCTTGAGTGTGAATTTTTTTATTTTGTTAGAGGCTTTCGGATTATTGACCTTTTGTTTACTTGAACATAATCTCTAGAGCTTGAGGCATAGCTGCCCACAATGTGTTTACCAAGCAGGGAGGACTTCAACCCACTTTATCACAGTAGCTGCTTGACATATTTTGGCAGGGATTTAAAAACCAAAGGTTTTAAAAGGGACCAACAATTGTAGAAGTAACTTTACAGTTAAAATTTTCAAACCTAGAGACTGTTAAGTTGGCAAAGATAGTACAGCCTATGCCTGAGATTGAAGATAGTGCAAAGGCCAGATTTTTGTGGGAGTCCAGAGAAGCAAACTTCGATGCAGGGAAGTAGGAGTGAATAGATGACCAGCAGGAGGAATCAGTCTTCTGGGTAGATCAGAGGTTTTGACAGATTTTCCCTTCTTGTCACCTCACCAGGTATGCACCAAGAAGAAAAAGAATAGCTGCTGAATGGATACCCTGTAATGCTCACTTAATCTCTTTTCTCTGTTAAACCAGGGACAAAGTTTTTGGATGTTTACCTAGATAGTTTATGGCTTTTCCAAATTGGTCTGTGTTTTTACTTGAAGTGCAAATATGTGAGGCAGATGTTAAAACAAGTGACATAATGTTTACATTAAGTTGCCTGTTTTGTTTTCGTAGCCTTAAATTGGAATGTGAGAAACTGGCAAGTGAAAAGACAGAAATGCAGAGGCACTATGTGATGGTAGGTATCCAAGATTAGACTTTTTCCTTTTCATGTAATATGAGCAAATATGTGTTCTTAGCATTATAAAATGTGAGTTAATGAAATGCTTGATTCTTTTTTTTTTTACAGTATTATGAAATGTCATATGGATTAAACATAGAAATGCATAAACAGGTAAGCTTTAGTTAAGTCTCAAGCTGAAATGACAAATGAGTCATGGTTCTTTAATACTGGCTTTGTTTAGTGGGGATTTGTATGCCATTTTTCTGCCTTGGTTCCCCTTCCTGCAAATTGGTGGTAGTATTCTGCAGCAAGGATTGCTTCTTGATAGTTACACAATGTTTAAATGACTGGGTGAAAGGTACTTTGGAAATATAAACTAGCTTGTTCATAGGCAGATAGGAATTGAGACTCTTGAGTTTCCTTTTCTATCTGGATAGATATATTCTCCTTGAAAGACCTGGGTATTCTGTAGAGTTGCTGAAGTTGCTAATGTTTTTGTTCTGGTTTGGAAAGAAGTATGGACCTGTGAGTCACTCCTGTCTTTAAATCAGGTTAAACAAGGTATATGACTAACTATGGAATTTTCTTTATGCTTTGGGGCTGCATAAAGTGATACTCAGAATTAGTGGCTTATTAGCATAAGTCTTCTTGAAAAATTTCTCAGTTGGTGCAGGTTTGGAGGTGAAAAAAACGTTCCTTTATGGCCACAGCATATGTTGGGAGTTGCTTCAGTCCTAGTGGTTTTAAAAGCATGAAAAGATTAGTGACTGGAAAGCTCTAGCTATGACTATGAGTTTGCAAGTTCCCATAAAATTCACACTTATGGCTACTATAATGGTGTATAAAAAGAGTATTGAACTGGAACAAGGCACTAAGGACCTCATAAGAGAAGAAAAGCTAAATGATTGCTCAGCCCAAAGGACCCTCGATTGAGTAGTCATTGTCTGCCAAAGAAAGCATTAATGGTAGGGTGTAAGTATTCTGGAGATATGCTGACATTCACTTTTTCATCAAGACGCTGGTACAATAAGTCTTTTAGAAATCGATTGCCTCTTAAAAAATTATCATCAGATGAAGTTGCACTGTTGGACACATTTCAAAGTGCAACAATACAATTCTTACTTGATGTATATGTGCTATTTCATCTCAAACCCTTGTTTCATTAAATTAAAGAGCATGGCTGACCGGCTGGGGCACAGTGGAGAAATTGATTAGTTCAGCCTTCAGATCTTCCTTATAGTCAGAGACTTTCATTAAGCAAGTGTGTTTCAGAGTTGAATTCTGCTTTTGTAACTCTGCACTCTTTGATTTTTAATTCATCATAGGTTTCATAATGTTATCATCCTGTACATTAGATCTGTTCTCAGATGTGTGTTTGGAAAGAGATAGTGAAGTTCAGGGCCTTTCATTAATAATACAATTGGGCCTTTAAAAGTGCTGATTTTATTCTGATTCACAGAGTTGGTAGTCTAGTTCTTGTCGCATTTGTGCCTTTGTTTTTATTTCTTTGTTTTTGTGTGTTTAAATGGCTAGTGCCTGATTGAGGCACTTGTAACTTGTTGATAGTAATTGGCTAGAAGATCTATGGTCATTTAAATAAATTATGCAAATAAACTTGGTCAAGAAGTTCTAACCTGCCATTTTTTTTTTTGTTAACACTAAAGATCCCCATCCTCCTCCCTTCCCCCCTCCCCTGCTCTTTTTTTTTGGCTAACGAATATTCTGGAAGAGTAAGAAGAGACCAGGCTTTTTCTTAAACTCATAAACTCAAAGGATTTGATAATCTCACTGACTCTTTTACAAGGGAATGCCACCTTTGTGTGATGTTTGCTGGTGCTGGATTTATTGGGGGAGCTAAGGAGGTGTGTAATTCTTCTGGGTTCCTGTAGTTACATGGTGGAGTGACCTCTTCTTTATCACATAGCAAGAAGGGAAGGGGAGAAGAGGGTCAGGCACTCCCATGGTGTGAAAATAGTTTTCTAATGAGTTTCTGTATTCCCAGGCATTTGTCTGTCCATGAGCCAATATACGTTAATAATATGCTATATACAATTGGCTCAGTAATTTGAAAAATGTGAAAAGCTGAGAGATGCCATATTCTTCATAGTAGGGTATTCAGCCCTCTGAAATTTGGTTTATATTATAAATGCTGACAGACCCTTAACTAGAGTAGTATGCAAAGCAGTGCTATAATTCAGTTTAAAGTGGCCTTACATTTGAAAAACATCCTTCTGAATGTCACACATTAATAATAAGTTCTGAGGAGACATTTGGTGCAGCTAGTAATCATAATTCTTATTAAAACTGGTGACGTCTGGCCCCCAGGGTGTAGCCAGGCCCAAATTGATGCTTTTTGCCGCCTGATCACCAGCATGGCCTAAGTGCTCATTATATTGTAGAGAGGGCCTTTGGAGCTCTCATTAGATTTGACAGGAATTCTCTCTAGGGGGAAACTGGGCATTAGCGAGACTCCTGACAGGCTGAAATTAGTCCTGCTTTATGGCTTATAACCAAATGCTAGAAAGGCATCATCAGGGGACACAAAAATTGTCATTTCTGACAACATCTTTGTTACTGAAAAAATGCAGTGATGGGGAAACTTTCTGTGGAGAGAGCTTTAATGTTGTTAAGATTTACCTCCAGTGTGACTACTGCTCTCCCTTCCCACCTTTCAGCGGGTTTGTTGAAGGAGTGAGTTTTAGAGATTTCATTGTCAAGTCTCACCAGACTTTTCCATCTGGAAAAAAAAAAGTGGAAGTGCGTCCAAATCAAGAATGGTATAATTGTGGTTTCCTTACTTGGTTTGGTGCCCACAGTCCATGTTTATGTTGTGTCAACACTTCCTGATAAGCCTTCCCCTTACTTTCTCTGCTCCCATTTGTGGCTGGTTACTGAGACGTCAACGGCATAGGGATGGTAATGGATACTGAAATCTTTTATTATAGCATTGAGGCAAATTTTTTTTCTTCTTTTGAGCCTTTTATAGATCTCTGCCTGTCCATCTTTCTTTGGGTAGATCTTAAACTCAAGCCATCTCTGTACAAGAGGTGGAGACTCCTCATGAAAAATTGAGGCAATTTTGATACCACCAAAGTGTTAGGCTACAATAAAAACCAGTTACTGTGAGGCTGGTTGTTTTGAGGTCTGTGTCTAGTGTGTTTAGCTGTGTGAATTTTACAGGCCTCTTTTCCTGTCACATGGCATGGTATTACCTCATTTGATATTTTTATGGACAGTACGTACTTATATACGTACATAAGCCTTATCTATTCCACTTGTGCATCTTTTCAGCAGGCTCTTGAAGCCATGCCATGAGTTGTCATTAATGGCTTGAATTTGTATAGCACGTTGCCAAAGTGACTTGACTCATCCTGTGAAGTAGATTGGGGGTAGGTGTTTTGCTCTGTCTGCAGCTGTGGCACGTGTTCAGAGTCTGGGTGTTGTCAAGGCGGAGCACCTATTGAAGCTTGAGTTTGGGTCGCCTGGTCCTCAAGTGACAGAAACACCCTTGGGCCTCTATGTAGTGACCCAAGGTTACCTAGCTGCATGTCTCTCCTGTTCTCACTCTGGGTCTCTGCTACTGACTTCATGATTTACAAGACAGGTTGGGGCTTAGGCACATGTTTTAGAAGTTAAGAAAATTAGCACTACGGATTGATCTTTGGGGTCCATAGCTACGTAGAAAGCTGTAGCCAACCTAGCAACACTGTCTTCAGGTTAAACTAATGTCTAGGAATAAAAGAAAATTTGAAACATGTGGCCAGGACTCCTGGTTGAGGCCCAGTGATGAGTTTGATCAGTCACTTGGTCTCACTGTGCCTGCGTTTTTCTGAAGAGCAGGCCGAGTGAGCATACAGGGTTCTCCAGGGCGGTGGAGAATTCAAATGAAAGGATTGGCTCTAGGAGGAAAGATGTATTCTGCAGTCCTGGTCATGGGGTGGGGAAGGAGAGGAGAACGAGGAAAAACCAGACCAGAGCTTACATTTCCAAGCCCCATGTAATATTTCAGCAAACAGTTTCTCAGACTAGGTCAGTTTCGAAGTAGAGTTGCTTTCACAATTTTGATGTGTGCTTTTTAAAGTCTCTTGTTAAAGATAAGTTGTTTTCCAGTAGTATTTTTAAAAGTGTTTAGGTGGAACTGTTAGGGATTTACCTGTGGGTTAATTCCATAGATGTGACTGCTTTACTGTTTGTCTGCAAGTTTTACCTTTCTTGTTTTTTAACCAGTTGTGTTCTCTGTCTACATTTTCTCACTTTGAGAATTTTTTCTAGGTCAGTGTCTTCGAATGGGAAGTGACTAGCTCGAGTGCAGGCACTTAGAGTTAAGCTCCACCAGGTGTTAATCTTGTACTACAGAGAGGGTGGCTGTCATCAGGATTGGAGTGGTCCCCAATTTCATTCTCACTAGCCAGGCCTGTCCTTTACAAGCATAAGTTAAAAGAGATAAAACTCCTTGTGTATTGAGAGCCTGATTCTGAGGTGCAAGATTAGCTTTTGTTTTTTTATCGGCATGCAGGGCTGTCTCCTTACTATGAAACCTGCACCAACTCCTTCCACAGTTGGCCAGGTTGCTGGTTTCTGTCCAGGGCTGACTAGGATGAGGTGAGTGAGGCACTTGCCTTGGGCACAGAATTTAAGGGAGGTATCAAAAAACTCAGTACTCAAGAGAAACAGTACTATTTTTAAAATTTAAAACTGATGTCAAAAATGCCAGTAGGAATAAAATGTTAAGTAAAGGCAGGACCCAACAGGGTTAGGAATAGGGTTAAGACGAGGGAGGCACGTTCAGAGACAGAGAGCAAAGAAGAGGTGGAATGAACGGCCCGTGGGGACCTGTTGTGATCTGTAGGATCTGCCTTTGTGTAAAATACTTCAATGAGGTCCCTTAATTAGGGACTTCGATTAGTGACTGGACAAGTCATTAATAAGTTGCCTGGGCCTCGGTTTTCCTCTCTGAAAAAGGAGGGTTTAGACTGGGCAGGTTCTATAGTTTGGTTCATCTCGAGACAGGGGAGTCACACCGCACCCAACCAGAACCTAGCATCTCAAGTGTGTCAGTTGTGGAGAGTCTTTGAAGGTTTAAGATGTTCCTCCAAACAGTGCTTATTAAGAAACAGAAAAAGAAAAAAAATCTGTTCCCTTAGCAAATATTTAAGTAAATCATCTTGTGT